AAAAGAAACACATGTCTTTTGCAGCAACATGGATGGAGCTGGAGGAGATCATGCTTAGTGAGGTAAGCCAGAAAGAAAAAGAAAAATACCCAATGGTTTCTCTCATAGCAGGGATATAATGGAACAGGTGAGAAAATAATGATAATGACGAGCAGCTACATACCAGAGACATTTTGTGGGGGTGGAGTGGGAAATGGGATCAAAAACAGTGGGGGGAGGGGAGTGCACTGGTCTATGGTGATGGCACAGGGTGATTTGGTAATGGGAAGCCCAAGGGGATTGCAACTGAGATGGGAAAATGCACAAAAATATGTAAAAGTAAAATGTTATAAAATTTAAAAAAATAAAATAAAATAGAGCCTCCTGGTCCTCCCTGGTGGCACAAGGGGTTAAAGAGCAGCACTATGAAGCCACCTGGAGCCACTGTGGCACAAGTTCGATCCCTGGCCAGGGGTGTGACCCAGGTGGTGCGGCAGGCCTCTCCTGTCTTGGCCATGCTCCCCTCAGCAGTGTACTTTGTCAGTCCACCTGTTCTGCTCCCCATTCTGTCTCTGGTGAATCCTCTCACCGCCCCTGAGCCTCTCGCCTGTACCCCAGCTCTTATAAGCATAAATAATCTTAAAAAAAAAGAGCCTCCACTTTTGATCCTGTCACAAGGCCCCCATGGACTGCAGATGAATTTCTCAGGCTCTTGTGGCATGTGACCAGGTTCTGACCAATGGGGTGTAAATGGAGGTGTCATGTGATTTCTAGGACCTGACCCTTAAAGGAAGAGGTGTGTTCTCTTTGCACCCTCGCCCCCACACTGTGTTCCCATCACCCCACAACTGCAGGCCTCGTTCCGCCTGTGCTCACACTATGTGTTCTCCCTAAATGCCTGCCTCCCTTCTCCATCTGGGACCTGAAAGGGTCCCCTCTGTGAGGAGGCCTTCCTCATGTCCCAAAGCTGTGACATAATTGTAACGTGACATGGTGGAGCCAGGGCCCAGATGGGGCTTAGTGCAGAAAGTGCTGCATCGACTCTAAGCCTCGAGGTGCGCCTGGTGGGCGGGTGCGCTGTGCTCCCTGGCAAGTGCATCCTGGCTTGCTTCACAGCCAGGGAGCACACTCACTACTGCTGTCAAACACCACAGAAAGAGCACATCCAGCAGTCTCCGTGCTCCAGCTGTGGAAGCCTCACTCCCTTTGCAGATGGGGGACAGTCCCAGAGGGGCTGTGTGTGCTTGAATAAACACCCACATCCTCAGATGCCTGAATTCTGATTCTTCCCACCAGGCCCTGCTGCCCTCTGACAAGCCAAAGCACCAGCTGAGTATCAAGCACTTCAGAAAAGGAAGCCAAGTTCCTGGTACACCAGGATGGGTCTGGATGGATCATTTCTCCATGATGTAACAGTGGCCCAGTTTGGCTTGGAGGGAACTGCCTGCCCGCAAGTGGATACACTTGGGCGAGAGGGCTAATCAGCATGCTCTGTCCTCCTCCCAATAAAGGGCCATCTTGAAGTTCTCTCCCTGGAACCTGCATCTTGAGCGAGTGGGAGCATGAGGAGGACCAGGGCAGGCACAGTGCTCACTGAAGGGCCTGTCCGTCAGTTTTTCCCCCTCCAGAGCCCCAGAGTTCTTATTCCCCTGCTTCCCATTTTGTTTCTCCAAATCTCCCTTATATGGTAGCCCACAAGTTCACAAGTAAGCCACATTTGCTTTCTAATGCTCAAAACCAAGAACCCTATGTAATACTGTTGTACTAAATTGAGTTTCAACTCTTTATTATCTGTCAGTCCTCCCAACTGATTGCCTTACCGCACTTTGTTCCCTCAATGAGCCTTCTTCCTCCCGGAGAGAGAAATTTAGGGAGACACTGATGGGCGAGATGAGGTCCTGAATGCATACCTGAGGAGGAAGATAAGAAAATAACCTATGTCACCAGTTTAACCTTTACCACATTTCCAGTTGAACACTTTTTTGTTTTTTAAATTTTATTTCATGCTTACAGAACTGGGGTACAGGCTAGAGGTGTGGTGGGTGAGAGGATTCACCAGAGACAGAGTGAGGGTAGCAGCGGGCAGGTCAGGAGAGGTCTGCCATGCCATGTGGGTCAGCTCCCCGGCCGGGGATCAAACTCATGCTGCAGTGGCTTCGTAGAGCTTCATAAGTTGGTGCTTTAACCCGTTGCGCCACCAGAGAGAGCCCTCCAGTTGAACACTTTTAAAAAAAGATTTATTTATTTATGCTTATAAGAGCTGGGATACAGGCCAGAGGTGGGGGGGGGGTGACAGGATTTATCAGAGACAGAATGGGGAGCAGAACAGGCAGATCTACTGAAATACACTGCTGAGGGGAGCGGAGGGGTCTGCCACGCCATGTGCTCAGCATCCTGGCTGTGATCAAACTCCTGCTGCAGTGGCTGTGGATAGCTTCACAGTACAGTGCTTTAATACCTTGCACCACCAAGGAGGCCCCTAAATGCACACTTTGTCTTTGTTTTACAAGTGATAAAACTCGTAGCTAGTTGCCAGTAGTGGAAATACACTTACTATATGTCACATGATTATAAATAAATGTCTGCAATAGCTTCTCAGCATGTCATTCCTCTGCCCCAATTCCATAGCAGATATCACTAATCAACCCTAGCACTCTTCCCATTAAGTACTAACAGATAGATCTGATCTTTGTCAAATTGCTCTAAGCAGCCATTATCAAAGTTTGTATAAGAAAAGAATATTCTGGACCTCCCTGGTGGCACAGGAATTAAATTTCAGAGCTATCAAACTTATCAGCAGCCACTGTGCTATGGATTTGATCCCCGGCCGGGGAGCTGACCCACATGGCACAGCAGACCTCTCCTGACCTGCCTGATACTCCCCTCAGCAGTGTGTTTCAGTCAGTCTGCCTGTTCTGCTCCCCACTCTGTCTCTGGTGAATCCTTTTACCCGCTACGCCTCCGACCTGTATTCCAATTCTTATATGCATAATTAAATAAATCTTTTAAAAAAGGAATATTCTAGAATAACAGGAATATCCTACTTCCTTAAGAATAGGTATAAGTCTAAGTGTTTTGTTGTTACCAGTGCCAGAGACTGGCACTTTGTGAACATACAAATTGCATTCATCTAAATTTTCTGCCAATCTGAAGAGGCAGGCATTATTATTGCCATGTTAGAGTAAGAAACAAAGTTTTAAAAGGTGACACAATTTTCTGAGGACTAAAACTATGAATGAACCCAAATCTGTTCAGTTCCCAAGTCTAAAGTCTTTCTAGCATGTTACATGCCTCTTCTTTGACAAATTTACATTTAAAATTTCCAAATCTTGTAACAGCTGTTGGGGGTGTGGTATGAAGAGGCAGTAGGGCGTGGAGTTGAGGTATGAGTGAAAGAAGGGTGTGAGCTGATAATTGTTAAAACTTGGTGACAGGCATTTTGTGGCTTATAAAACTATTTTTTTTCTACTTTCATATGTTTGAAATTTCCCATAATAAAAAATAAAACAGGGACTTCCCTGGTAGAATAGTAGGTTAAAGTGCAGCACTGCAGGCTAGATACAGCCACTTCACTAAGAGTTTGATCCCTGGCCCAGAGGTGACCCACATGGTGCAGCAGACCTCTCCTGTCTCCCCCGCTGTTCCCCTCAGCAGTGTACAGCCTCAGTCTGCCTGTTCTGCTCCCCTCTCTGTCTCTGGTGAATCCTTTCACTGCCCTGGACCTCTGGGCTGTACCCCAGTTCTGTATGCATAAATAAATAAATCTTTTTAAAAATGTATAAAAAATAAAATCAGTTATAAAATCTTATGAAATATTTAAGAGACAAGAATAATTAAATGTCTATGTTATTTTTACAAGTTGTCCTAAGCAAATTAATTCAGGGCATTTTAACCATTGTTTAAACTATTTTTTTTAAAGATTTATTTATCTGTGCATACAAGAACTGGGGCACAGGTCAGAAGTGCGGGGGGTGAGAGGATTCACCAGAGACAGAGTGGGGAGCAGAACAGGCAGATTGGTTGAAATACACTGCTGAGGGGAGCAGCGGGCAGGTCAGGAGAGGTCTGCTGTGCCATGTGGGTCAGCTCCCTGGCCTGGGATTGAACTCATGCTG